GAAAAGAGCGGGAAGGATGCTGGGACACTTGCACGGTGCCTTAACCTCTGCTATGCTAAGGGCCTTCCGCTTGCCACTCAGAGCCTTTCCCTGTAGCACTGCAGTCTTTTGTTTGCAAGTTTGCGCCCTTTCCCTTATCCACTGGGAGGATGCTCTGGCAATGTTTTCATCCTTGTCCTTCTGTCCTTGACCTGTTCTCCCAGCTCTCCACCTCCAAAACCCAAGCCTGCTATGTCAGGTTTCCCATGGAAAGTGATTGACATTGATGCGAGAATCTCCCTTTTCCCACCCTCACCTTTTCCTACCCCCATTTTGTAACTTTTACACAAGCAAAAAACCAAAACCTAGTGAATAACACAGTAGACAGTAGTCCTTTAAATAGTGGACAGACATTTCCCAGTGACATCCATGCACAAAGCTTAACAATCAATTAACGTGCAACTCTTGACTCTGATCAGAGCGTGCTCCAATCAGCGCTAACAGCATCAAAGCAGGAACAACCAGCAGGGAGTTTCCCGACGAAAACTATATTGTTATTATCAGAAAAGTACTATGGTGGACCGCCTGCCGCACAAGAGAGGATGCCCAGGGGAGAAGAGTCACCTGAGGAGATCCCTGAGATTATTTTCTTCTTTTCTGGCCATTGGAGAGTGTTTTTCTTTAAGGTTTTTCACCGCTCCTCTCTCCTTCTTTTTTGCTTTTTTGTTGTCATCATAAGTAACTATTACCATTAAAGCTGTCACTTGCCACCAGCTATGGACTGTGCCATCATCCTTTATGCAACTACTTCATATTGAAAGAAAGTACAGAAAACGGCATTAATTCTTGTGCAGGGGGACAGCAGCAGGTCTATCAATCACGTCATACTTGAACATCTGTATTACTGCAATGACCTCAACTTAAAGAATACAAGGATTCAAAGTCAGAAAATAATTTCAGCTTCCTTCTGCAGCAATGTATTTGTATTAATCAAAATGTTCTTAAAATTTACACCATTTTCTACAAAAGTCACTGTGATAATTAAGCACTGGCTCTATGCTAAATACAATATAAAAAAAAAAAACCAGTTGCCTCAAAGATTATAAAAACTCCAAAAGAAGAAGCTACGTTTTCAAGAATTCAAATAGCCACATGGATATTATTCTTTTGGCTCAGTTAAAAAATGAAAAACTAAAAACACCATACATTTGTGGTTTGTCAGGCTTGCAGGTTCACGTGATCCACACAGTGTCTAAACCAGAAACAGGTAATCAGCAATTAAACAATATCCTTGGTTTTAAAATACATTAGCAATACATAACACACTGGTGTTATTCTTAACATATGAAATATCCTTTAATATAATTTATGGCTTATATAGTCCTTGACTGCAGGGATGTACTCATTCTTTCTTTTTGGTAAAGTCATATGGTTTCCACCACTGTGCAAACTGCAACACCTTCTTCCTCTGATCCTCAAAATTCTGTCTGATTCCTTTTCTCCAGAGCCGTGGTTCCAAGTCCAACATGCCACCAATGATTTCCTTTGCAAGTAGAACAAAGATAGATAATGATAAATGCAAAATTACCATATTAGTTAACACTATTTTGCCATAGAATTTAGAAATATATATTTTCAAATGATGAGATTATTTGTCACTTTTCTTCAAGTGCTACTTATTAAAACTGGAAATTCTGAAAAATATACCAATTCAAAAATTAGAACTGTAGTTATTAGATGGCTGCCTCAGCAAAATTCTTTTAAGTACAGCATAGCAATGCATTGCATAAATATCCTAACATTGCAAGACTGTTAATATATTAGTACATTTGTGACTAAAAAGAGGAAAGTTCAGAAAAAAGAAAACTGCCCACTTTGCTCTCAATTCTTCTTGAAGTAAGTTATATTTCTTCCCAATCACTCTTAGTGTTTTTGCAATATTGACTCTTTCAATAAACGATTGCTGTGACATAATAAAGAAAGGAAGATTTTATTGCAGCTCTTCCTGTATATACTATACTCTCTATACTACATGGAGTAATTTAACCACACATGTATTACACTAGGAGTTGTCTGTGAGTTTGTATGTGTATGCACCCTAATTTATACAAGCAGAAGCCAGTGCACCTATATGAGAATACTATAGTCATGAAAAACCTTTTTTTTCCTTCTTCTTCTTAAATGATGCAAGTATTTTCCACATATTAAACTATATGTCGCATATCTAGGGTTCCTATTAATTCAAAAGAAGCATGGATCTACAATTACATCCTGAGAATCAGCCAGTGAAGAAATCAATTACTCCTTTAATCAACAAGCTAAGTTATAATGACTCACCAAGAAAAGTCAGCTAATAAATTGGGATAAGGTACATCAAAGTAACTGTTCTGGCAGCATCTGTTTTAATTACTTAAATTTTACAAAATAGAGTGTAACTGGTAAATTGATCTTTTACACGACAATACCTTTCCAAAGTAATGAGGGAACTTGTGTTGATCTTCAATGACGTGAGCAAATCCTCCTTGAAGGCCAAAGTCCACAGAAAAGTATGGTAATCCTTTAGGAACCTATACACACAAAACTACATTTTTAGATGTTTAACAGACTGTAGGCATTTAGTTAACCTCCCTGCAACTTAATGAATTTGAAAGAGGTTTTACAGTTGATAGTATCACATTTTATTTTGAACCACTTCTCAAACCAAGTATGTGTAGTATAAAACGGCGACAGAGAAACAGTAAAACAAACAAGCAAGGGGAAAGAAGAACACACAACAACTAGATAAAAAGACACTGAAAACCAAGAAGATGATTGCTGGGTGGCAGAACCTCCAGAGGACACCGCTGCAGCACCAGGTAAGAGACAGGGAAGGACCAGGCAGCAGCATGTACACTGAGCAAATGCCCTCCGGACTCCATGCCTCTGAATTACATGGGTTGAGTAGAAATTTTAAGACAACCACCAGCAAGTTGCATTTATTAAAGATAATGTTTTGTGTGACAACAGGAAACATTTACCCAGAGGAAACATTGACGCCCAGGGGGGAGGGGAAACACCTTTATGGAGAATACACTACCAGAAAACCCCACTAACTACATGGAAGTTATCATTAACTTGCCAAATCAGATAATTTAATAATTCAGTCAGCCTATAGAGGAGACACTGGCTATCCTGCCACAAGGAAAGACCCTTCAGTCTGACAGAGTGAGAAGTGGATTCACTTCTTGCTACAGTATTGCAAGTAATTTCTGTTATTTCACTGCAACAAGTTATTTTCCACTCTTTTAATTGTTGAGGATGTTCCTGTACAGATAAGATTTACAAAGCCTCAAATTCATAAGCATTTCCTCTGCTACAGTCCAAATAAGTGTGCAATTTTCACAAGGCACGTTCCATATATTGCTTGAAAATTCACTCTAAAAATAATTAAGATTTAATACAGAGGGACAATGTAACACAGCAAGAATCATAAAACATTTTAAATGGACTAAAAAAAAATCAGTAAATGAAGAAAAAATGGGTCAGTGGGAGACACCTTAAGGAAAATGTCAGCTTTATCTTATTTGTGTCCAGCAATGTATCAGGTCTGGCTGGGACGGAGTTCATTTTTGTCACAGCAGCCCTTATGGTGCTGAGTTTTGGACTGGTGACTAAACCAGTGTTGATAATGTGCCTGTGTTTTGGCTATTGCTGAACAGTGCTTGCTGCCAGGTCAGCTCTCCCAGCTGTGTCCACTCCCAGCCCATTGCCTACTCCAGCTCCCTCACTGTGGGGAGCAGAGGGAGAAGCACAGAAGGCCTTGATGCTGTGCAAGGGCTGGATGCTTAGGCTCTGCCTCTGGACACTATAGTCCCAGTTTCTGCACACAATCCACCCATTGGATGATGTCTCAGCCATGTCTGACCCACCTTCCAGGCACCACCATCTCCTAATACAACTCTCCAACTTCCCACACCTCAGCTCAGTCTCTAAACTATACTCTCATATCTTCCTGAAGGCTACAGGCATTTCTTTTACCCTAAAATAATGTTAAAATCATACAACTGTGTAACAATTTACACTCAGATGCATTTTATTGATTTAAAGAAGTGTTGTGACTTAATCCGAAAACTGGCCTACCTTCAAATGGGTATATAATACAGTCACAAAAATGTATGGCTAAGAAGATTCTTAAAGAAATCAAATGTCCTGATGCCCTACCATGTGTCAAGAAAATTATACTTCATTTATTTGTGACAGATATTGGCTTTCCCTGTTCTGAAACACCAATGAGCAGAAGACATACCTATTCTGTTGTCTGTTTACATCCACCTTAAGTTTAAAGTCCTCCCTAAGTCCTTGCTACAAATTAATTTAATTCCTTCTTGTCTGCATCCAAGAGTGCCTGCGCACAACTAAGTACTATCTTCTTTAAAACAATCTCCTATATACAGAAAACTACCATCACATCCCATTTCAGTCTTTTCTTTCCTAGACTGCACAATCCCTAAACCAGTTACTTTAGTTACGTTTTCTAACCTATGCTCTCCTCTTCTGTAACTGTCTTACAATGCTGTGCCCAAAACCAGACTCAAATTTTCCAGGTGAAGCCTCACCACTTTGAATAAGGTGACCCATAACTGACTCCCATTACATTTATATGACATTTCAGCTTACGCGGCAGAATAAATTTTGTCTTTTTGCCACATTTGCTACCACTGTTCGTTCAGTTCAAGAGTCATCACAATATACAAAACCTCTCCTACTATACAGCCACCCAATCCCTTACTCTTTTGCACTTAATTTCTCTCTCTTTGTCATATCAGACTTCGTGTCTCATTACTAAGACCCATCTCGTCTTTCTCCTAAACTAGGATTTTTTTTAGTGCAAAGGTGCTATGTTTACTAAAAGACACTTTCAGAAATTAAGTATTATTACTACATAGTAGTAAACTACTTGTGGTAAGTCTATATACCACACATCTTTCACTTGAATATTAAAAAGATGGAACAATCTTTGAACCTAACAGTTTCAGCATTATTCCTTTAAGATTTGTATATGCAAAGATGTTTCAGTTTAGTATCCAGGAGACAGATAGAGTACTGTTCCCTTGTTCCAGAAAAAAAGACTTATAATGCTATTTATATTTTCGCTTCATAAACTTAGCAACACAAAAGGCTGTTCTAGGTCAATGAAAAAGACACATCACATTTTTTCCAGGAAAGTAATTTGCAAATCTTTGATCTACCTTAATTCTTAAAGTTAATCAAGAAAATTATGCTGGTACATGTCTTCAAAGTGCCAGCTTTGTTCTCAACCTGTGCTTGCAGCTCAGTCCACCTATTGTTGAAATAAATGGGAATCTTTTCCCTAATGTCAGTTAGGAATTCAGCCAGACTCTTAATTCTCATCATGCCTATGCTATCTCCTTATCCACTAATCTAATTCTGTTCCCTTTCTTCTCTCTTTGAAACAGTTAATAACAAAAAAAGATGAGAAGAATTTGCTGAGAAATTGTGTTTAATACATTTCATTACTTACAGATTTACGAATATCTTTTGAAGAAAGATCAATTAACTTCTTGTTCACGGACCACTCTTCATCAGACTCCATTATAGCTTTCTGTAAAATCATTTTATCTAAATGTGAAAATAGGCCTTCATACAGCAAGCAAAGAACTAACTTTTCAATGTAGTGAAGTACATTGCACTGCAAGTATCAATTATTTCTTAACAAAGTAACTTTATTTTTGGCAACCTTTCTGATTTCCAGAACTTACTTACTTCATAAAGGCATCGTATAATATCCTCAAACTCACTTAATTCTATTCCTCTTTTTTTTTTTTTTTAAATTTAACTTTTGCCTGACACAAATTATCTCTAACAAGTCTCAACTAAAAGGTCACATTATCCTTTTAATAAGCTCATACAAAACCTCTTATGAATTCATTACAGTATATTAGCCTTTTTTCTTTTTTAAACACTAACAGAAGAATCCAGCTTAGAAGGCTGATTGTTCTTACAAACCTTTAAAGCTGCCTCTGTATCCTCCATAGTATGGAAGTGGGTATAGTGTAGTATAGTGTAGGTACCTTCTGAATTTCATTTGCTGTGTATTTTAATGATGGAAACTTCTGAAAGGAAGTTTTATGTGTCATTGCATTAAATCTTGTACTTCGTCTTTCCTTTAGCATTCTGTATCAGAAATAGTGTGGCCAGCAGGAGTAGGGAGGTGATCGTGCCCCTGTACTCGGCCCTGGTGAGGCCGCACCTCGAATCCTGTGTTCAGTTTTGGGCCCCTCACTACAAGAAGGACATTGAGGTGCTGGAGCGTGTCCAGAGAAGAGCAACGAAGCTGGTGAAGGGTCTAGAGCACAAGTCTTATGAGGAGCAGCTGAGGGAAGTGGGGTTGTTTAGCCTGGAGGAGGCTCAAGGGAGACCTTATCATGTTCTACAACTACCTGAAAGGAGGTTGTAGCGAGGTGGGGGTTGGTCTCTTCTCCCAAGTAAC